GTTTGACTCAAATAAATTGTTTCTTGAAGATACAGATTCTGGATTTCATTTATGCGATAGAACATAATTTAAATATACACCTTTATGCTTTTTACTTCAGTAGAGGAAAAACAACCAACTGGTTTTACTTTTTATGTAGAGGGATGTGACCTACATAATGAAGTATACATTTCCTGAAATCTCCAAAATCATTATCTAGATGGAGGTTTGGAATAGTTTCAGTTTAAACAGGGAAATGCTGTACAAAATAATTGCATAATTAGAAAACTGGAAATCACACTTTGGTCAACTTTCAAAATGTTGAAGTGTGGGAAACTCTGAAAAGGGGAACTGACTTAACGCTGCCCATTTCTAGAGTTCTGGAAGTGTATTCTTTTAAATGTGGCAAGTTTCAAGATGTTTCACCATACTAAATATCCCAACAGATCACACATTCCTATATGCCCATGTGTTTAGTATGAAGTCATTGACTTTTCCTTGATTTACCCTAGTGCTGGTGCCCAGCGGGGAGGGGTGTGTCTTTGCTCCTTGATGGCCTGACTGAGAGGAGCACTCTCTCAGGAACCAGAGTGCCTGGTTTCAATTTCTTATAGCTCTACTTTTCTTGTGACTTTGGGCATGATGTTTTATGTTCTCTATGAAACCGTTGTCTCCTCTTTACAATGAAAATAAATAATAGTATTTGCTTTGTTGGAATGTTAAGGAAATGAAATGAGTGAAGTTCCACCAAGTGTATAGAATAATGTATGTTAGGTTGTAGGTGTTCTTGTGTTTCTTATTAAATGAAGCTAAAAGTAGAATACCAATGGTGATAGATCAGAAAAGACAGGTGGGAAGAATCGAAGATGAAATGAAAGGTTCCATAAATCAGAAGCTTGCCAAAATGGGAATAAACTGAATTTAAAATCTTATCAGACTTGCTGAGGAGATAGTCAAAACCAATAAAATAAGTATAGCTAGTGCTTATACTGCTCAAAGTGATAATGTGATCTTATTTAATTCTTAGAAAAATCCTCAGAGATTGATCCCATTTTGCAGATAAGAAAATTGAGGCACAGCAGTTAAGCAGTGTGGCGAAAATCAACCCAAGCCCACTTCAAACCCACATAGTCTGGTTCAGAGGCCATACTCAGAACCTGCCTCATGCTCCTAACTGTCAGCAATCATGGATAGGGTGAACTAGAATTGTTTACTAGATTGTAGAGTTTTTCAGCTGGGTATTACTGATTGATGAGTGAGGAATAACAATCAACTTTAAAGTTTAATGGATTTGTGAAACTTTTTTCCTTACTGTGAGGTATCTGGCTGAAAACATAAATTGGTTCCAAGTAGTATGATCAGCAAAAGAATTAAAGAAGATATAATTAGAAGCCTGCCAAATGGCACTAAACTATTTTTTCCATCTGTAGTCTCTTTTGGGATTCTCTTTTGGATCAGAATTAATAGTCTAAAGGTTTCTGTTGATGTGGCTAAGCAGTACCATATAAAATCTGAAAAGATGAGGAAGCATTTATTTTCATTTGGAATGAAAGTCAAAGTGGGAACTATTACAAGAGCCTGTACTTTCCATCAGACATAGCATGGTATGTTTTCAGATGATAGAAAATTGTTTAAAAAATTCCCCACTGGATGAACTGAAAGCGGAAATAATAAGTTAAAATAAGTTGTGCCGTTTAACATTAAATGTAAAAGTGTCTATAAGTAGAGCCAGTATAGAACACCTCTACAGATAACTGGAAACAGGTGATAAGTTCATAGTATTACCTGAAACATGTTCATATCAGTTTCATATTTTTATTATAATATGAAACAATAAAAGTTTGAGGAGTTCAAATATAGTCATGTGCATAGTCGAAAGTGAGAATTATCCCCCTTGCATGAACATACCATCGTGTGTGGAAGCATATATTTATATTTATTGATGTATCAGATCTTTGTTTCCTTTCATGATAGTACATGAAGATTTGCCTTTTTTTTTTTTTTTAATGTTTATTTTGAGAGAGAGCGCGTGCCTCTGCTTGCATGAGCTGGGGAGGGGCAGAGAGAGAAAGAGAGAGAAAAGGACAGCTAAAATCTCAAGCAGGCTCCGTGCTGTCAGCAGGGGGCCTGAAGGTGGGGCTAGATCCTAAGACCCTGGGATCACGAACTGAGCTGAAATCAAGAGTGAGATGCTTAACTGACTGAGCCGCTCAGGTGCCCCAATTTACCTATTTTTTTTTAAGTTTATTTATTTTGGGAGAGAAGGAGACAGGCAGAGAGAGGGAGTCCCAAGCAAACTCCCTGTTGTCTGTGGGAGCCTGAAGCGGGGCACGAACTCATGAACCATGAGATGACGACCTGAGCAGAAATCAAGAGTTGGATGCTTAACCAACTAAGCTACCCAGGCACCCCTAACTAATAAAAAATAAATAAAAAATTATACTATGTAAAGTTACCATAGTTTAGTTAAGGAATTTACTGATTGGCTTTTTTTTTTTCTCAAAAAGTATCTCTTAGGCACAGTACTGTAGGACACACATATATCTGTATATTTTCGTTCAATTCAAACATATTAGTAGTAAGTTTCCTAGCGGTGGGATTGCTGGACCAAAGCTCTGCATCAAAATGTTGAATGATATTTTCAAATAGCTTTCCAGGAAAATTATACCAATTTACAGTCTCAAGTGAGATTCTTCCAATACTGTTAGAAAAATCTTTTAAATCAAATCTAAACTTAAAGATGAAAAAAAATCCATGTAATTTAAATGTAAATTTATTTGCTTATTAGTGAGGGTACAGATTTTTTCATATTTTTAGTGTCTATTTGTATTTCTCCTGGAAATTAATTTTTTATATTCTTTTCCCGTTTAAAAAGTCAGGCTGTTTCTATTTATTGACTCGTAAGTGTATTTCTACATATTTAATTCCAACTGGCATCAGTGTATTCTCATTTTGGGCATTACCAATCAATAGTGATCACATAGATCAGGCACTGGAATCTGTAGTTGTTTTCTGAAATAACTAGATGCATGGATAGAGGGTTCTTTTTCTGTGTATTTCCTCCCTGTTTTCAGAGTTCTAGTCCAGGGATTGTCAATTTTCATTTCTCCCTTTCTTATAGAATTTTTTTTTCAGTGTTCACCTGTGAGAAAGAGTATGCGAGTGTCCTTGTAAATGGGGGAGGAATAGAGAGACAGGAGGACAAAGGAACCGTTCCAAGGGGGCTCTGGGCTCTGCACTGATAGTAGAGAGCAATCAATCTTTTCTAAAGAGCCACGTAGTAAATATTTAGGTTTTACAGCCATGCAGTCTTCATCACAATTATTCAACCCTGTCGTTGCAGCAGGAAAGCAACCTTGGATAAAACCTGAGGGGGTTTGAGTGTGTTCTAGTAAACCTTACTAGGGACACTGAAACTTGAATTTCATAGAACTTTAATACAATATGAAATTTTATTCTTCCTTTTTTCTTCCTGTTGATATTTGAAAATGTGAAAACCGTTCTTAGGTCTCAGGTGGTGGGTTTGGCTTGCAGACTAAAGTTTGCCACACCTGCTTTAGACTGTTTCTGTAAAACCCACTGCCAGAAACTGCCACTAACCGGCAGCCTTAGGACTTGTTAGCTACTAAGGCTATGGGCAAGACTACATTTTGTTGGTCTCATCTTCTGAACTTTGCAACTTCTGGACCCGAGAGTACAAAACTTGGCTTTCCTTTTTTTTCTTAATATAAAATCTGGGATTTATTATGTATATTAAAATTCCTAGTGACATGTAAAAATAGTGACATGTCCTGTGTATCATGAGTGTTCTGTAAACACATATCTCTCAGTCTGTCTTGAATGGATTCAGTTTGACGTCCAATGCAGGAGTGTATGCTAAGGTTTTTGAATAAGGAATTCCCAACAAAATGTGACTTAAGATTTTAATGTAAATTTTTCATATTATATATAAAAACAGAAATGATTCCAAACACTTGACAGTTCTTTTATAAAAATTCTATAATACTATTTGTGTTCCTGCTTTCCTTCTCTTGTCGAAAATGTCATTTCAGTAAATTAATCCAAAGGGAAAGTTTATTTGGGAAAGTTTTTGTCCACTCTGCCTTCTCCCAGCAGCTCATGGGGTCGTGGTACCTCGGTGTCAGTTTTAACCTACCCTCTACCCCCTGACTTGGACGGTGGGTCTGCCTTCCATTTTTCCCAAATACAAAATGAGAAGATCAGATTAACTGATCTCCAGGTTCTTTCCAGCTCAGCTCTCGGGCTGTTCTTACAAAACGTGCACCCTTATGCATGTGATATTAGAGTGAATTGCGTTAGCCTGTGTGGCGGGAATGTGGACTAGTAGTATGTGGAATAGGCATCTTCTCTTCATGCATCTCCAGTGTCATCCAGTGCTGGTGGACACCAGTGCCATGCGAGTAAAAGCAGCCACTTGAGAGTAGATATCATTTAGGAAGTTAAGTGACTTCGATACTGGAATGTAGCTCAGCAGAACTACTCAGCTCAGCAGAACTGCTCAGCAGAACTAGCTCAGCAGAACCCAGGGGTGCCTGGGTGGCTCAGTTGGTTGAGTGTCCGTCTTCAGCTCAGGTCTTGATCTCACACGGTTCATGGGTTCGAGCCCCACGGCTGGCTGTATGCTGACAGCTCAGAACCTGGAGCCTGCTTCGGATTATGTGTCTTCCTCTCTTTCTGCCCTTCCCCCACTTGCATTTTGTGTGTGTGTGTGTGTGTGTGTGTGTGTGTGTGTGTGTGTGTCTCAAAAATAAGTAAACATTTAAAAAATTAAAAAAGGACTGTGGCTTATGTACAATCAGTATGTTATCAATATGGTCTATTTCATTTACTTATGGACTAATTCATGTGATAGGTTACCTTCAGAAGAGACTGCCCAATAACGTCTCATAAAATAGTGTTGGCAGTTACCCTTTATTAAGTGGGTTTGCTGTTTGATGTAGGAGTATGTAAGAGGTGAGGCATGGTATCTAATGTCTTTGAACAAAGAAATTCCAACAAAGTGTGATTTAGAGTTTAATATACATTTTTTTTTACACACAAATGACAAACCAGTAATTACAAACATTTTAACTACTTTTCTGTTACTAGTTATGCTTTGCAACCACATAATCACATTTGTTTTTCTCATTAAAGGAAATATTCATTAACCCAACTAGTACTTAATTTCTAGAAGCTAGTTAATAAAGGTAAGTGGCAATGGTGGTACTGTACTGAGTAAAATTGTCAAAATATTAATAAAACTGGTTTCTCTAGTATTAAGGAAATACTCAGGATTTTTTGGTTTTAGAATGTCATAAAAGTAACCATTTTAATAACTTTGCTATTTCTGCTCCTTTATTGGAAAGGTATTTTTAAACCTCTATCTTCTTAATGAAAATTAAAAAAAATCAGTCCAATTACCATTTCAATTAGTTTAAATTTCCTAAGATTTTTGCTAATAATTAGTAGTAGTAACTATTCTTTGTGTGTCCCACTTAAATCTTTATAATGAGTATCACAGTAGATGAGCATTTGGTTACGGTCTCGGATGTATATACATCTTAGTATAATTTTTGGTCAGAAGATTTTTTTATCAGATTTATCATTCTCCCTTAGTTGACTATAACTTGATAATAACATTGTGCTCAGTAACGTATTTAAAAGATTACAGTAGATATTATATGGTTACCCATTTTGCCAACACTCTACAAATCATGAGTTCTCTGTAGTTTGGCTTGTAACCGTGGTAATTAGATACAGTTTGTTTTGCTACCCATATCTCTATGTTAGGTTTCTTTTCTGTATTTTAAGATAGCTTTTTCATACTGGAAAAGTAAATGAAAATTACTTCTGTAGTTTTCTACTACTTGTTTAAAGAGTCATTGTTACTGACTCAGCTTACTGTTTAGTCAGTATTTTTACAGTGTTTTCCTTTTGTGTATTCCAACCACTTACAGATTGAAATATTACCTCATTTGGTTTACATTGGAGTCTCTTCACTTGGGTCACCACCATCCTGTTCTTTTTTCCTGTTTTCTTGAGATAGAGATGTTGCAGAATTGGGGCACTTCAGCATACTCATTAAGGAGTTTTTGAAGGACTTGCAAAGGAAAAAGTAGATGAATGGATCCAGGCATGCATTTAAGGAAGTTAACCAAAGGGTGCTCTCTTTAACATAGAACAGAGTATTTTCAGCAGAGCAGTCAAAGACATCCCGGGTCTGGCTCAAGGTATAGGGAATGCGGGCAAAATGGAAAGGAACAAAACAAATAAAAAACACAGCAATGATAATGAAAACTTTGATGTTTACCTTCTTCCTAGGGACTTTGCCTACACCCCTTGTTCTGACATATGACCTGTACAGTTCTTTTGTAATAAGTGTATAACATACAATGACAATTAAAAAATTAATCCAGAAAATGACTTGACAGATGTAATTGACTATTTCATGCCAGACCAGACCAAACTCTGATTTGAGGAACGAGCATTTCTTCACATTCTTTTCTCTTGGCCTCCTGTTGGTCAGAATCATGTTGGGCAAAGAGATCAAGAACATGAATGCCCAGATTACAACGGAGAGAATCTTAGCCCCCAAGAGATTGTTAGGATTGGATGTCTTAAATGGCCTGGTGGTTTTCTGGTAACGATCAATAGTTATCAGTCCCAGGAATGAAATACTAATGTACATTGTAAAATAAAATATGACAGAGGTCACTTGACATACAAAGGTTCTCAGTGGTCCTGTTCCCAGCTTGGTATCACTGAGGATTTTGAATGGAAAAGTCAGAATCATGAGAAGATCAGAAATGACTGTGTTCTTAAGAAAAATAATAAAGTTGGATTTACTGCGGATTTGAAAGAAAATCCTCATTGCCAGGCTGTTTATGATGAGTCCAACAAAAAAGAGGACGGTATAGAGGAGCGGGAAGAGGACCTGGGTGATTTTGTAATCTCTGGTGCACAGGCTGCCATTCCCAGCCACAGAGGTGAGGTTGTCCATGGCTTGTGTTTCTTCTTTGCTACCTAGGGGAGGAGGGAAGGGATGGTTATTTTCAGTCCCAGACCATTGATTTTGTCTTATCCCTGTAACATTTTTGGACAGACTTCTCTAAAAATTGGGGTTTCCTATCCTCATTACAGAAAATTGAACCTTAAAATACTTAATCATGGCAAATCCTCTATCTCCAACAAATAAAATAGTCTGACATGTATTATGTGAAGGTATAGATGCTTTGTATTTCTCATTTGCTAAATGTTTGTCTCTTAAAGGACATCTTGATCATACACAAGTGTGCAGATATTTTAACCCATATATATGTCATTTCGGGCTTTGCACAGTGTATTAGAAGTTTTTACATACATTTTCTTGAATACTATTTGATACAAAAATAGTAAAAAAAAAAAAAAAAAATGAAGTGGTCATCAGGTGGTGGTCTTCAAAAATAGCCAGGGCATACTTTCTTAGGTATCTAGAGTATATAATTGTAGCTAAAATAAAATATTGGAGCCATGTCCTTGCCTGGTTCTATAGATAATTATACCACAATAGACGGCTATAAAAGAAAACTAACACTTGAATACGTTATCTGGTATCTGAGTTTTGAAAACAATTTTTTTAGGTTTTACTTTAGAGAGAGAGCACACAAGCAGGGAAGAAAGGGGAGAGAGAGAGAGAGAGAGAGAGAGAAAGCGAGAGAGCAGACTCTCAAAATCTCAAGCAGACTCCAAACTCCAGGCTCAGCCTGGAGCCTGATGGGGGGCTACATTCCAGAACCCTGGGATCGTGACCTGACCTGAAATCAAGAGTTGGACCAACTGAGCCACCCAGGCACCCTTAAGTTTTGACATTTGAAATGAAATTTGTAATTTTGTTTTTAAATCACAGGCAAATGCAATTGATTTTCTATGAATATTATTCCTAAATATAAGACATGGTGATGTTAAAAGCACACATATCCAAATTAAAGGTTCCATTTGAAATACTTAAATTGTGACAAGTAGAGATAACATTAAATTCTCACAAATTTAATTTTTCATTGTCTAATTATTGAAAGTAAAAGTTTCATATTGTGACAATTACGGCTTCAATTTTCAACACCCCCTCGCCTGTTTAAAAAAACAAAAACTAAACAAAACCCAGTATTAAATTGATATAGGATCATAGATTTTAATCTTCTTTGCTACTGCTATGTACTCTTATTTGTGCATTCACTGATACTTTTTTTTGGAAATTATGCATTGGGAATGCTAATGTGGCATAGACTATATCTTATTTAATGAGTATTCTTGATATTAAGATTATTATTTCCATCTGTCTATATTTAAATCTCATTTTACACTCCAGGTAAAATAAATAAGACCATTTGTATTTTATTTCTGTGCTGCGTGTGTGTGTGTGTATGCGTATGTGTGTTTAATGAAGAAGTTAATGGTTTTCCTGACACCATTAGTACAGCTTGTATTTTAATTTTTATTCCAAATAAGTTCATGCATTGACATTATTAAAGGTTTCCAATTTTAAGAAAACTTGACAAACATGTACACATTCATCATCATGTAAACACCTGTATTTGTCAAATACTTTTAGATATAAAATTACCTGGTTGTTTTGTTGATTCAGGAGGATTTAAATGTATCCATTAATTGGCAGTTAAGGCAACCTGCGGAGTAGCGTCTGGTATTTTCCTTTTAATGTCTTAGTTTAGTTGTTATAACTCTTTATCTTCTGAGTGTTCATCAGTAAAGTCTTGAGTGTTCTAGAGAAAAAGAGAGAGGAAGAGAGGACTTCACAATCAGAAATTACCTTCCAGTGCCCTGGACTCAAAGCTGTGCAGACACTCTATTTCCGTCTGGCCGTTTTTAGGACTTCTGCTTTTATTTCCCTGAGAAATGTGGGGCAGGATGGGCAAGAATTCATCGTTTAAAATGCAGTTTAAAATCTTGCTTCTGTTTGGTGAGACCTGCCCATAGAGTTTGATACTTTGTGAGTTCTTTTGGCTGTTTCCCATGTACACAGTAAATCCATGTTGAGATCAAGCTTTTCAAAGTCTGCTTCCTGGAGAAGATTGCCAGCTTGCTTTCTCGGATGATTATTTACCTGAAAACATACTGTGCTCAAGCTGGGTGATATATTGCCTTTTAACAAGTAATTACATTAACTCAAAATGTGTGCTTGTTACGGATGTTAAGTCTCTTGCCCCTTGTTTTTTTTTTCCTGGCTAATAATGTCATTATTTTAAATCTGTGTTTGATCAAGTCTTCGTACGTGAAACAGTTTCCTCTCATTATAAATTTGAAGATTCCAAAATTACATTAAAAAAGAAAAACAGTTGTATCCATTGCCAGGCTTATTATATAAAGTGTCTTTCAGGCTTTTCTTAAATAGAATTTGAATATAAACAATTATTTTGTAATCTAGCTTTTGGTTGGGCAGAGAATATGTTATTAAATTAAGGGATCTCTGTTTCTCTGTTACCTTTACATAAATGTTTTTGATGCTCTCTCACACACATACAAGATTTGAACTGTAATGTCCCTTTATTTCCAGTAGATCCACTTGGCTTGGTGCCTTTGGTGTGAACGTATGTTTTGGTTACTTCTTTCTTTTGAATTTTGAGTGGGTCTATCTCTGCGTATGTTAAATAATCTTTAACATCAATTTTCTTTTTTTTTTAATTTTTTTTAACGTTTATTTATTTTTGAGACAGAGAGAGACAGAGCATGAGTGGGGAAGGGTCAGAGAGAGGGAGACACAGAATCTGAAACAGGCTCCAGGCTCTGAGCTGTCAGCACAGAGCCCGACGCGGGGCTCGAACTCGTGGACCGCGAGATCATGACCTGAGCTGAAGTCGGCCGCTTAACCGACTGAGCCACCCAGGCGCCCCCAATTTTCAAAGTGCATAACAGTGGCCCAGCATCGCCTAGGAAGTTGTGACAAATGCACATTCTTGGACTTAGCCAACCTAGCTCCACTGAATCAGAAACTCTGGTTGCACCCCTTAGCTATACTTTAAAGAACCTTCCAAGTGAGGGTTATGAACAGTAAACTTTGAAGATCACTGATTTAAACCAACCTGAGAATTTTGTTGGCATTAGGAGTTTGGGATTAAGCTATAATTTGAGTAATTTCAGGGCACCTGGGTGGCTCAGTTGGTTAACCGAGTCTGACTTTTGGTTTCAGCTCAAGTCATGATCTCATGATTGTGGGATCTGGCCCCTCATGGTGCTCTGTACTGAGTGTGGAGTCTACTTGGAATTGTCTCTCTTCCTCTCTCTCTGCCCCTCCCCCACTTTTGCTTGTGTGTGCTCACTCTCTATCAATCAATAAACTTTAAAAAATATTTTAGTAATTTCAGTCAGAAATTTGAGTCATGTAATGATCCCAATCTGTTAGTCATCTAGAGGTGTGATAGTGGAGTCCTATAAAAGTGGGAATTCTTATGTTATTTCTATTTTGAAATGTATTGCATTAATCAAATTTTAATACTTGGTTTTTGGTTTGGAGACACAATAGTATACTTGTGGAAAACACTTTTATGCCTACGTACACTTCAGAATTGTCGTGAATTAACTTGTTGAATGATCTCTGTTATTCTCTGAAGTAGATAGTCATCTTGTTTCCGTTCTCTGTATGATGGAAATTGAGGAGCAGAGTGAAGTAGGGACCCCATTCTAACTGATCTCAGAGCCTGTACCTGTAACCACTGTGCACCTAGAAATCCTCCCTGTCTCAGTGTCTGCTCGACCTAACCCCCACCCCCATGTCCACTGTGTTGAGGCCCTGGAGCAAGAGGTAAATACCATGAATGGAATGGTTGTACTGTTTTCAAGAAAATAGAAGTCATATTTGCCTATACAACCAATTGCAAACTTTAGTGTAAAGGATGTTTATGAAGTGTTTTTAAGGTACTCAGATGAAACAAGGCTTGTGGAAAAAAAAAAAGAGCATTACTGATTTCAACAAATTAATATGCCATACTGAAGAAACACTAATTCAGGATACTGATATCTTACTACATTATGAAGAATTTATATTTTCAAATTCCTAGAAGGCTATGAATAGTGATTTGAGGGGTAAATCAAAAGGCCCCAGCTCCTGATCTAAATTAACTTTCCTTTGATTGTAACTCACAACCACCTATCTGTAAATCTTCTCTGGTAATTTTCTCATTAGGAATTGACTGCCAATTACCCATGTAGATCACTTTCAAGTGAATCATCTCAGGTTATAAAAGTATACTGTTGGGGCGCCTGGGTGGCTCAGTCAGTTAAGCGGCCAACTTCGGCTCAGGTCATGATCTCACAGTCCGTGAGTTCGAGCCCAGCATCAGGCTCTGTGCTGACAGCTCAGAGCCTGGAGCCTGTTTCAGATTCTGTGTCTCCCTCTCTCTGACCCTCCCCCATTCATGCTCTGTCTCTCTCTGTCTCAAAAATAAATAAACGTTAAAAAATATATATATACTGTTGACCCGTGAACAATGTGCAAATTAGGGGTACAGCAGTCAAAAATTCGCGTTATAGCTTAAAAAAATTTTTAAGTTTTTAATTGATGTATAATTGACATATGCATATAAGTTTTGACTTCTCATAAACCTGACTAATAATAGCCCACTGTGGACGGAAGCCTAATCGATAATATAAACAGTTGATTAACAGCTATTTTGTATGTTAGATGTATTATGTACCATATTACAGTAAAATTAGCTAGAGAAAAAAATGTAGACAGTCCACTTCTAGTACTCTATTGATTGAAAAAAGTCTGCACATAGGGGCACCTGGGTCACTCACTTGAGCGTCCAACTCTTGATTTTGACTCAGGTTATGATCTCATGGTTTGTGAGTTTCAAGCCCCATGTCAGGCTCTGCTCTGATAGTGCAGAGCCTGCTTGGGATTCTATCTCTCCCTCTTTTTCTGCCCCTCTCCCCATCTCCCTCCGTCCTTCCCTCCTTCCCTCTCTTTCTGTCTCTAAATAAATAAATAAATAAGTAAATAAGTAATAAATAATCTTAAAAGGAAAAAAGTCTGCACATAAGTGTGGCCCATGCAATTCAAACCTGCGTTTTTTGGGGGTCAGCTATATTATTGTACAGAGAAGTAGAACAAGTTGTACACTTGAGCTTGTCATTAATAAACAACAGCAAATGCAGTTTATAATTGTATGTATTCTCATTGGAAACAGGACTGATTTTGATTGATTTGGTTAATTTCTAAGGTTGAGGTGACTTCACAAAATGAATTTGTAGCCCAGAATTTTTACATGTAAGTGATTTAATTGGTTGGTTTATTTTGCCACATCTATTAAAGGTAGTCTGCTTCTCTGAAAATATTTGCTTCAAATGGATTACTCTGAACTTAGAGAGCCATGTCCTGAAATGGTAGGACCTGGTGTTCCTTGTGGAATCAGGTTAGGGCAAGAGAATGGAGATATAATTGAGACATTTCATTAGGTCTTAGGATATTTTAGTTCTCACATTGCATGGTTTCAAAGTGTGGTCATTTTGACATTAGTGAATGTTTTGAATGAACACATGCATTTTAAGGCACTGCTTACTCATAGAATTTAGTGGTTTTACCTGTTTGAGTATAAAAATTGAGGTCATATATGAGACATTCTCCACAAGTAAAGATTCTTGGGTGTGGGGTATTTTGCAAAAGAAAATGTCATCTTGATCTAATTATCTGTCATCCCTGGCTTGATTGTTTTGCTTGAAAGCAGAGGACTAGTAAATATAATCAAACGCACTGATGTTCATTTTATTGTGCCCCCAGGATGCATTGAGCCTCTTGCCCAGAGCCGTCATTTCAGCCATACCATGGGCCTTAAGCTAGTTTAGAACAAAAATTTCCTGTATAGATCTAATGAAAGGAGTCTCCTTTTTTTTGGATGTAAAGGAGTTCTTCCATTTCAGGTGGAGTAACAAATGAGAAGAAGCTGCTAATTTCTTACTCCTTTGACACAGCCTCTCCATGCATGTCTGCTCTCTTCTTATTACACCTCTGCCCAAGGCTTATCCCTCATGTCACACTTATTTGGAAGGTCATTTATTCTAAACAGAGTAATGTGACGTATTGAAAGATTCTGCGAAAAAATAATTTGGAGGCCTCTCTTAAGAGTTTTTCATTTAATAGATAAACAAAATCTTTATGTAAGTAGCTCCATTTTTTTTTAAATGGTAGTTTTTCTGCTTTTCTGGGATATGGGGTAGGGCGCTCTGTGCAATTTATTTCATGATGACTGCTGGGTTTACATTTGAATATTTAAACATACACAATTATAGAGTGTTGGAAGTATCAAATGCAATATCTTGTTTTTTTAGGACCATCACATTTACTTCATCTGTTTTTCATGAGTGTTTGGAAGATAAGGAAGTATATCTAGAGTGGGATTCTTTTTTATCTCCTTCTAAAAAGAACATTAATTTATTAATTTTAAAATTCTCCGATGATTGGGTCAGTATAGAAATACCAGGACATATGAATGAGGTAAAAGGAGAGTACACAGCTCTGATAATCACCTCTGTTATCCCATCTTATGAACACACATACACGCTTCCGCAACATGTCTAATCACTTAGGTTTTGATGATGACTTAGAGGAGACCTGACTTCAATTAACTCAAATTCTTACCAGTAAGGGTATTTAGCTCAAGATACCTATTTTAATTTCTTCCGTACTCCAAGCCTTCTAGGGCTTTTGGACATGTCTCCTCCCAGTTTGTTGCTCACTTAAGTCTTTGTGAGTGTCAGATATTGTCTG